AGTGGCAGAGTAGATACAGTGAAGGAACAAAACCTCACCATTTCTTGATCCTGTGGGGAATTCAGATATCTAAGCTACTTCACTTTTATCAGTGAAGTCCCAAATGGCCTAGAATAATAGGTTAAAAACAGCAGCAGGACAAGGCTTAGCAGGCTGTCTGCTTCAGTGAGGATGGTCAAGATTAAGGACTTCCCAGACAAGATAAATTTAAGTTAATTTTTGAAACACCTCCCAATAGATGGGAGATATTTCAGTTAATACAGAAGAGACAATGCCATTTGTGGTTCTGGGACTGTGGTAGGAATGTTGTTAGGAAAATAGCATGCCTATGGGTTACGCTTAACTGGGGAGATCCAGAAGAATGGGACAGAACGGCTTCCTCAGCATTGGGACCTTTGTAGCCTCACAACAAGGGACACAATTTCTTCATTTGCTTCAGCACTGAAAAAAGTTGGCTTAATGTTCCAGAAATACAGATAGTCTTTCTGTTTTATGGAAGAAAAGGGCACAGGATGCTACTATTGCTATTGCTGTAAAATAATTTGAAAGACAATGGCTTACAGAAAGATAGTAAGTTAGTTTTTTACTCCTTCCTTCCTTTCTCATTGGCATTTATAATTCCTAGATGACAGGAATTGGGATCCAATCTTCCTCATTGGGATATGAGGACCAGTGTATACTTTTCATTTCTATTTGGTCTTACAGTCAGAAGATGCCTTTAAGTCACAGTCAACTGACAAACGGATTGGTAGAGAAGGAAGTGACCACTTCCTGGAGGGAACCTTCCCTTTTCATTGTTTTCTTCAAATCCAGGTCTCTCTTTCACCTATGACATACTTAATTGTGAAATAATGGAAATCACTGTCATGAAGCCACTTTACTGTTGTTGGCAAAACCTTCCCTCAACCTTCCCTCTTCTCTGTGGCCACAGTTTTGGGTTCAACATAACAAATCTCCTTGGCCTTGGATCCTTAAGACTTAGTAACTGTTATATATCACAAATTAGCCTATAGGCCACCTAGAAATGTTATCAAATATTCAGCGAGGCTGCCTGTCAATCCGTTTTCTGGCCGATGACCTTGCTAGTCACCAACTTTTTTCCTCCAAACTACTTCCAGGTGTGGCTTTGGGCCTCTGCATTTTCCCAGGCAACAATCTGTAAATCTATTAATGCCACATTCACTAGTCCATGTCATTCTTTTTGCTCCCAAGCAATAACATTAAAAAAAAAAAAGGCGATTTGAACTATTTTACTGTAGTAGAAAGAATATGGGCTTTTTGGTTGAATAGACTTGGTTTTGATCTCTGCTTTTGGCAATTGCTAGATTTAAGACTGTGAATCATTTTCCCCATCTTTCAATGCTCAGCTTTTGGTCTTCAAGGAAGAATATTTCAATTCAGCTCATACATTTGTGGTACATTAATAGGGATGGTACACAAGCCATGGGCAGAACTCAGCAAAGGCTTAGTAAAAGATAGCTCAAGCTTCTTTTATTTCATTTTGGCATAAGAAGCAGATCTCCTAAGCATATAGAAAGAACTTAGGAAATTGAGAGAATGAGGAGAGGTGATGTATACACAGGGGGATGACTGTACTTCAAATTTCCCCACTAAACAGTATTCACAACCTTCTAGCTTTGAGACTCACACTTATCAGAATTGTTCATATTGTCCTGGGGATATTTTAGTTTAATAGAAGGACCTTTTCCTTGAGGGTAACTGACTCTATTAATTCCAAATGCTAGGAATTAGTAATAGAGAATTGGATACAATTTTTTTTTCTTGAAGACACACTTGAGTATATGATCTGTTAAGATCACATTGGCTTCTAAATATGGGTTTGGGAGCTGAGAACACAAATACAATGAACAAGATATAAATATACTCCCCGAATTTACTTTTTCCCCCCCTTGAACCAATACATAGCAGAGAACAATTGGAAGGCAGTGCTGGAAAATGATTATCTAAGTTTGAAGAGGATGTGATTCAAATGTTTGGCTTCAATCCCACCACCATCCTTTGAGTTACGTCACTGGATCTGATGTTCCTAAGCATAGGCTATCAGAGTTCATTTTGTTGCTGAGTGACTTAATAAATCATATTCACGATCTGGTCCCTCTGTTCTTCCCAAGAATGTGGCTTTGATGAATAAACACCAGTTATAATGTGTTTGTTTCTATCACATGTACATCCAAAGTTATAAAATCCCACTCTTGCACAAGCTCTGAGTTTTACCACGTATACTGTGCTGGCTCTGATCATGTTGGTTCTGTCATCCTCTGTGCTAGACTGAGAAGAAGGAGACATGCCTTCAATATGGTGATTCTGTCATTTTTTTCTTGTGAAACAAAATTGATCTTGTTTCTGCTTGGTGGGGTCAGGTGCCCAGGGCAGAGAGCACTTCCTATGGGCTCATGGGGAGCTGTGCCTGGCTGCCCTCTAGTTTCAGTATATAATTGAAGAGCTATAAAGAGCAGGCTTGGAATGGACAGGTTTTATTCATAGATAGACATCCCAACACTCAAGACCTAGATGGGAGGCAATATTTACCCCTTTCACACTTACAGAAAGCCACATCATCTGCAACACAGCTGAGTCTACTTCAGTCAGAAGGAAAGAGAGAGAGAGAGAGAGAGAGAGAGAGAGAGAGAGACATTTGGCTGCTTAGATCGGCATTCCTTTTTTCGTCTGGAGCTCTTGGAACAGGCTCCTACTGGTTCAACAGAGCCAAGTGTACACCTCTCTTCCCAATACCATGTGCAGTGACATCATATTAGCAGCCTAAAATTAGCACTGTGGGTGTAATTTACACTACAGAAATTAGCAAACACTGAAAATTAGTAACTTGAAAACTTTATAGCTTCCTGTGAGGCAACTAAGTAGAAATAATTACTGTACTGTTGATCAAATAGAGTTCCAAGGGCAGTAAATTAAAGTTTTCAAAATTATCTGTTGATCAATTCTATACACATACCCATGCTTGCAGCCATTTATAATAGACTGAAAATTCTTTTTTTTTTTTTTTTAAATCAGATTATAGCTGAGCTACTGGTGACTCCATGATATTCATGTTAAATATTGTGGCACTTTTGTTCATAGGTCAGTGGTTGGACATAACTAAGACAATACTGTATTTTTCAAAGCATGAAGCTAAAGAAAATATGAAGCAGGGAATTTAGTATTGATCATAGTAGGTTTGTCTTCTTTATGAAAATCTACCCAATACAAGAATTTTTAAAGAAGCCTTTCTTAAACTCTCTTAATAGAAAAACAACAGTAAAAAAAAAAAGCAGAAAACAATGCAATAAAGAAAATTCCAAAAAAGCAATAAATACTTCCAAATAGGAATTGTGCTATAGGTAGCCATTTTCCAAATTTATTGTTCTTTATTATATTATAATTACTACATACTTATTATTCTTAAAAGTTTATTCAGTTTACAAGGCTCTATATTGTTTAAAACAAATTTGTTCATTAAATTTCAAGTTATGGAAGGGACAAGAGAAGATATTCTGCCATTTATGAGAATATAGCTATTAACTTGCCATGAGAATGGACACCTTAAAGAAAGCATACTCTCCCAAATTGGACTTGAGTTTTTATTAAATGAGGATACAAAGTTAGGCAGATACCGAGGGGTTTTCTGTGAGAACCTGGAAAAAGGGATGAATATGATAAAAGAGATATTATATAACCTTTTGCTAATGAATCTATACCATCCATAAGCAAATATTGTTGGTTTAGATTATACAGGAATTCATGGAATAGATAAAAAGATTGTCTAACAGTCCAGGGGAGAACAATTCTTATTTTATCCCCAGGCGCCACCTCCTAAGACCCCAATCAATCATTCATCAGTCCAGAATATCTATCATATGGAGTGTTTCTATGGAAGTGTAATGCTTTCACGTAGTTACCAATAATAATGCTCAGCGCAGTGGTCCTCAACTTTCTGAACTCTGGGACCATTTAACACAGTGCCTCAAGTTGTGGTGACCCCGACCATAAAATTACATTTTATAAGTGTAATTTTGCAACTACTATGAATTGTAATGCAAATATTCTTTGGAGATAGAAGTTTGTCAAAGTGGTTCCAACCCACAGGTTGAGGACTGCTGTCTTAGAGAGTGTATATGAGAAGAGGCCACTCACCAGCAGATGGGGAATTAACCTAAGTGTAGTTCTGGGACTGTACATCCTCCCCTCTGCCTGAGGGTTCCTTTCCATCTGTGCTTTTATTACTATGTCCCTAACATGCTTCTTGCTGCTCCCATTTTCAGAAGTAGTATCTACAGGTATTACTCTCATTATTTATTCAAATGGATTTATTGGTCTAGTGCTTGCTCTGAGCCAGGTAGCAGGGCAATGTGTGCAATGATCTCATTTACTTGGAAAGTCCTGTTTGCTTTCTGTGATAGGGATCACTGGATAGAAAATGGCCATTCTCATAACCGAATTTCTCGCTTTTAAGGATAGGCCCACAGGGCCAATGTTATTTTGTATTGTCTGGGAAACAGCTGTTCTCTGTTGCTGACGGTTGTACTAGAGGAGCAGTGGGCTGGGAGTGATATCTGGATGTTACAAACTCATTTCATGAGAAACATAATTTTAATGTTCAAAATAGAAAATGAATGATGGCCATTTGGTCATACAAACTATGGCTGTTCTCTGTGTCAGTCTAGGAAAGGAGGTACTCAGAGTCCACGAGCATGAAGGGTGATCATCATTTGTGTTGGATGTCTACTTCCTGGCTTCTAGCTTGGTTATTTTAAAATACCAGAATGAGCAGAATGAACTAAATTGAAAATTGAATGGAATTTCTTTTTCTGGAGGGGGGGTTGGATAGACACTGTCAGAATATCTGATAAGGGAGTATGGACAGGCAGGCAATGGGGGGAACTGAAAATCTACATTCTTGTTATTTACATAGACTCTCCTCTCCCTTTCTCCACTCCCTTTGTATCTGGTCTTTCTCCCTTCAACTCTTCCTTCTTTCCCAGGTGTGTTTGATAACTGCTCCCATACAGCCAATGACAAGGGCTGGGCCCTGGGGATCCGCTCTGGGAAGGACAAGGGGAGGAGAGATGCTCGCTTCTTCTTTTCTCTCCGCACTGACCGGGTGAAGAAGGCTACTATCGTGGCTGGCCATAGCCGCTACCAGCCAGGCACATGGGCTCATGTGGCAGCCACTTACGATGGACAGCATATAGCTTTGTATGTGGACGGCACTCGAGTGGCCAGTAGTCCTGACCAGTCTGGTCCACTGAATAGCCCTTTCATGGCATCATGCCGCTCCCTACTCCTGGGAGGGGACAGCTCTGATAATGGGCATTATTTTCGTGGATATCTGGGCACTCTGGTCATCTGGTCGACTGCTCTTTCACAAGCCCACCTCCAGCACAGTTCTCAGCATCCAAATCGAGCAGATGAGCTGTCCACCTTGATCCTGACAGCCACTTTCGACCCCCTCAAGGGACAGTGGGCTCCCTTTAGAGATGAGACATATCCCCGGCTGGAGGTTCTCCAGGACACTGAGTCACAGCCTGAGATTCTGTCACCTTTGCAGCCCCCACTTTGTGGGCAAACAGCTTGTGACAATGTGGAACTGATCTCCCAGTACAATGAGCATGGGCCCCTTCGGGGGGAGAAAGTGATCCGCTACCAGGTGGTAAACATCTGTGATGATGAGGGACTGAATCCCATTGTGAGTGATGAGCAGATCCGCCGGCAGCACCAGGCACTAAATGAGGCCTTCAGCCGCTACAATATCAGCTGGCAGCTGAGTGTCCATCCGGTCCACAATTCCACCCTGCGCCACCGGGTTGTGCTCGTTAATTGTGAGCCCAGCAAGATTGGCAATGACCACTGTGACCCCGAGTGTGAGCATCCACTCACCGGCTATGATGGGGGTGATTGCCGCCTGCAAGGCCGCTGCTACTCCTGGAATCGCAGGGATGGCCTCTGTCACGTGGAGTGCAACAACATGCTGAATGATTTTGATGACGGGGACTGTTGCGATCCTGCTGTGACTGATGTTCGAAAGACATGCTTTGACCCCGACTCACCCAAGAGGTAAGGAACTGGGGTCTGGAGTGCTACTCTTATACTCTACATTTCTGATATAGTCCCCAAATAAAACGTTCTTCCCTCTTAGACTCTACTGGGCTTTTTGGAAGCATTAGGTGTATGAGGTAATTAAGGACCTGAGAATGCCTAATGAGGTCTAGCTGTCACAGAGTTCAAGGTGTGTGGAGCCGAGCACCCACAAAATACTAGATGACACGCCCAGAGCAGTGGGGGCATAGAGGAGCTCAAAGACTCCTACCAGAGGAGAAATACAGGTTTCTTCGGAGAGAAATGTAAGTATTTCTCAGTCTTCTGGGAGTTGGCGAGTTAGTCATATTTTTGTCAGTAAAATGACACACTTGAAGTGAACTTATTTGGGTAGGCCTGGTGGATAAAGCAGCCCACTGTGGCAGGAGCAAACTGTTCACGCTTTCAAAGCAAGAGAAGAGGAAGAAGAGGCCCGGGTCTTGCAACCCCTCGTAGAATATATTCCTGGTGATTCAAGAACCTCCCATTAGACTTGAACTCCTAAATGTCCCATCACTTCCCATAGCACACCCTAACTTTTGGCGGAATTGCTAGTCAGACTTTTTGTTGCTGTGACAGATGTCTGAGGGAAGTGATTTAAAAGAGGAAACATACATAGTTTTTTGGATTATGATGTCAGAGGTTTCAGTTTATGTTTTGGGACGTGTGGTGAGAGTCTACATACAATGGAGGAAAGCTGTTACTTCATGATAGCTGGGAAGCAGAGAAAGCCTGGGAAGTCCTAGGAGACAAAATAGGCTCTTTGACAGCATGTGCTGGTGACTCACCCCCTTCAGTAAGCCCTGCCTCTTAAATCTCCATTGCTCTCAGTAATGACATCAAATGAGGATACTATCTGTAGATTAATCAATTGATGATCTCATGGCTCTCCTCTCATGATCCATCACTTTTAGAAGTTCTGTCAATTAGTAACTAGTGCTTTAATGTATGAATCTTTGGGAGATGACCTGTCAGATTCAAACCATAACAGGGATCCTAATCTAAGTCACAGTCTTTCAACATTATCTTCAGGCAACATTATCTTCAGAATGGTTCTTTAGCTCTTTCGATTTTGGCTGCATTACCCATAATTACCCATATCTGAGTCTTTATAACTTATTCCTTTCACTGTCTCAGAGTTGCTATGGAAACACATCTCATTCCTTTTATTATCCAGACCTGTGATGCCCACATACAATATCTGCATATAACTAAAGGAGATAATTATACTCTTAGGAGTACTAGCATTAATCCAGTGCCTTGATCATGCTAAGCACAAGCCTTACCACTAAGCAAAACTCCCAGTCTCAAACATTTGAACATTTTGATTGTTAAAAATATTTGAATTACAGTGTGTGTGAATGTACATACATGTGTTTGTGTGAATGTATATACAGGTACATGCAGGCATGAGTGCATTTGGAGGTCACAGGACAACCTTAGGTTATTCTCAGGCACTGTCAATCTTTTTCTCGAGACATAGACTCTAAATGGCCTGGAGTGTGATAGGTAGATTTGGGTGTCTGTCTAGTGAGCCCTGGCATCCATCTGTTTCCACACCCCAGCTCTCAGTTATAAGCTGTGCCCATAGGCTTGGTGGTTGTTTTTTTAAACATGGGCTCTGGAGATTGAACTCCAATCCTCATGCTTGCAATAAAAACACTGTATTGACTGAACTGTCTCCCGGGCTCTAATTCTTCACATTCAAATATCAAATTGTTTTCTATGAGAAACAGCAGTCTCCTAATGCTTCTCCATTTTTCTCCATGTTCTAGTGTTAGACAGATCAGGCAACCATGTTTAATTAATTCATCTCTCTTTTTATTTTATTTTTTGAGCACCTAGATGGTTCTTTAACTTTGAATATTCTTCTTAGGTAAAAAAAAAAGTTTTAAGTGATTACTTTGATACTTCTCTGTTCTGTTTTTCCCTCTCAGACATCTGGCTATGGATCTTCTGATTTATTCCTTAAATTTTCCTTTCTAATATGTTCTTTTTGTTACTTGGGGGTTATATTTGCTATATTTCTTTAACATTTTTCCAAAGTTTTAGTGCAATCCAAGTGGATGCTCTGTTTGGAGGTGCTACAATACCAGGCTGATGAGTATATTGAATGCAGAAAGCTCCTAGTCCATCTCCTAGCTCCAAAATTCTATTTACTATATTGCCCTACATGAGAGGACCCACCAGATATGCCATGTTTAGATCATATGTTACACTTGGTCATAGCTCAAAGACAGAGAAGCAATTACGTTCTATTTTGTTTGACAGCTTAAAATTTTAAAAATAAGTTTTAAAAATCTAACTTTAATACCAGTTTATTTCATTTAAGATTTTAGTTGTTTAAATATTTGGTTTTATTATTTTAAAGTGTGTGTGTGTGTGTGTGTGTGTGTGTGTGTGTGTGAGTGTGTGTGTGTGTTAGAGGCATTGCACCTCCTGGAGCTGGAGTTAGAAGCAGTTGTGAACTTTCCAGTATGGGTGCTGGGAACCAAACTTGTGTCTACTGGAAAAGTAGGGTGTGCTGTTAATCCCTGCACTATCTGTTCTAGCCAACCATTTTTACTTAAAGCTGTAAGGGTTTGGTTTTGTTTTGTAAAAGTAAGATTAAATTTATTTCTTGTCTCTTGCTGGTTATTTGTTTCAAATGTCTAGTGCATGTCCACATAGTAGAGAACACACTTTAAAATCTCTATTTATGTTTAATTGTTCCCAAATTTCCATTTTTGGAAGATGAAGCCCAAAATTAATAATGAGAGGTAGAAGTTTTCTCTCTTTCAATCCCCTCATACTTATTCTATATGCAAAATTTTTCTTTATTTTCTATCTTATGTTCTTTAGGGTGAATTTTTATTATCAAAATATTGTATTATTTTTATTGTTGATACTGCTGTTTATCAGGTTCTTATGGTTTGTCAGATATATCAATGTAAGTAGAGGGACTAATAAAAGAATGAATAATGGAGAGTAACTTGCTGGCGGGATTAAATTTTTATCTAAATTTCCTGTATTTAAACACATGCTGAAGTATGAAACACAGAACTATAAAGTACCTTTCTGTGTCATGAGTTGGATTATTTGAAAGAACTTTGGATTCATAAGAGACCCTGATCTCTGGGTTTCTATGAAGTTCTTGGAGTTGGTAAAGTGAATGCCACTTCTGAACTAAATTAGCCATGTATAACACTCCTTTATTACAATAAAATCACAGAGCTCAATCTCACAGTCCCATTATTTTGGGACTCTTTAAGGATCCAACTTCAACAAATGCTTTGCCAGACACTTATTGAATAAGCAAGAATGCCAGGCACAGAGTCAATCTACTCAAGAACTCACATTTGGAGTGTGGGGGGGTAGTAGTGGGAGGATGGGCTCAGATCTATAGATAGATTACAGAGCAACAGCCATTAGTAATTGATGATTGATGTTTGATGATTGTTCTTGCTTTCCAAATCCCATTCAACTTTCCCACCACTCCCATTGAGAAATCATAAATGTAGGCCAACGTAGTTCCTTTCTCAAAGATTCTGGGAGAAGGAGAGAGCCAATGGAATCCATCTTCAAACATCTGTGGCCCAGATGGAGCTATCAAAGGGAAAGCATTTATAAGGCTTGGGACTGGTCAAAGGAGATATGAGTTATAGATACATTACCCAGCCAATGGATCAGAATTACTGAGATAGAGGAACTTGGCTTGTGACTAAGGCAGGCTAAATAAGACAGATATCCACTTCTGCTTATTGGTTGTCTTTGGGGAGTCCTCAAGAAGTGCAGGAGAGATGAGGGTTCAGTGTCCATGTGGGTACAATCACAAATATAACTGACCATTTACTTAGGGAGCTAAGCCATGGACATCCCTGTGACCAAAGGTAAACTTGGCTTCCCTGGACTTTTCAGTTTCCTTTGAATCTTTCACTTCCCTTTGGTCATTGTTTTTATTATTTTCCTTTATAACATTTCTTTGCATCTGTACCCGCTTTCTGTCTGATTTGCTCCCTTTCACAAGAGTTGGATTAAGTATCCAGCCCAGTGTAGAACTGTGTGCTTGTTTCCTTTTTAAATTTAGTGTCTCAGATTCTTAATACTGTTGTTGAGGAGAATAATCATCAAATAAAATCAAATGGTGGAGTCCTGCTGGAGCAAGCATTTGATCATTTAGTGTTAGATCCTGCTAGGAAGCAGGAGTGGGAAACTGGCCATTTGTGTTCTGAAGCTTGTGGTAGGCAAATGTCTCTTGTGCTTACAGCCCTGTTCCCTGCTCCATTTCCTAAGTATTATTCAAGGGTAGAGGATTGTACATGGAATGCTAGTACGTGGACTGAGAGGTGCCAGCAGGGTCATGACAAAGTGCAGGTGGTGTGTGCAATGTATCATGGGAAAGGTGCATTTTGGTCAGGAGTGCTAACACATATGGTATCAAAAGGAATGGGGAATGGGTGGAGAAATTGGTGCTGACCTAGCTTGTATTCTGGGACTTCACTGAGATTTGCTCACCCACACACTGTGGCTTTAGAGCCAAAGGAATGGTGGAGCTGGGCTCCTGCAGTGATGGGTCTGTTAAACATCAGCCAGGCTTCATTATAGGTTTCTTTTGAAGTCGAGATTCAAAGTTCCCTGAAGCCAAAAAAAAAAAAAAATTAGGGGAAAATAAGTGTAAGGGGGTAGAAGAGGGCAGGGAGAGAAGAAATGGAGGGAAGGCTTTAAAACTGAACAGAAAAATTCCTCAATCTTTCCACTTCACCACGTTTGAACTGCACTAACTATAGGGATAGGGATGTCTCACTTTCTCCTCCTCATGTCACCTGATGAGGAGAATTAGAGAAAATAAAGATAAGCTTGAGCAATTTACCTAGAAACAGAAGCCTCTCCTGTTTACTCTCCCACAGGCGAATTTTCCACAGTTGCAATAAATATTGTCTTAAAGTAAATAAAATTCAGTCTTTCTGTTCACCTGGCTAAGTGCATTTTTCTCTCCAGGT